TCTGTTGTGGAGATGAACCAGTCAATTAAGAGTATGCTTGATGCATATGCTATGTATGGTTGATCTTACATGATGCTTGATATTATGTTATTCCATGGTATAGTTTAAGATTTTGTGTGGCAAGGATTGTAGCAAAACGAACTCGACATCCTCAGCTTGGGAAAAGAAATCCACAGATGAAAACGACACCGCTGCGAAAATAGCCTAGAGATCTCAGACTTCCAGGCTATTACCAATATTGCTGCTGGAGATAAAGAAACAATGGATGTTCTTCAAAAAACCAACTCTTCTTGGTGAAGAACAATATTAAGATGTTCTTGACTTCTTGTGACAAAAGGAAAACCAAAACACACCACTGTTGGGAAATAAGAGCTTTGATCTATTAGGGATGTTGTGGGAATCTGGCTCTTGCTGGGGAAAAGCGGACAAACATGTCCCTTCTTGGGGAACAATCATGGCACTGCTGGGGAAAAGGAAAGCAAACAACATTCCTAACCATGATGGTATTCACCGGGAATCAAGCTCGTAAAGGAAGACTTTCTATCATCCCTTAGGGATATCTGGTAAAGCATGCAATGCATAATGCTTTCTTGGTTGATTTAGCTTTTTATTATTTTCCACACTTTATAGCATTATGTGATCACAAATAATTATTCATTTTGCAAATAGAATACTGAGAAAAGACAAATTAGAAATCAAAGGATGCATTTTATTGAATATGAAAATATTTGTACATAAGGTGTGTACAAAGATGCAAAAATCCTTGATGAGGAAATTTACAATAAATTGAAAATCAAAGTCAATGGCAATGGGAAATTTGATTTTGCATTGATTACAATATTGGCCACCATCCACTGTAAGTATTGGTTCCAATATCGTGTGTTCGTTGATGATGACTTGATTGATCATTTACCGTCCGAGGTCCAGCTATGATGAAGATAGGCTCAAGTGTTCACAGTCAAATGCCTTTATCCCTAATTTTTGCCTCGATATTTTATTATATTTCTTTCTTCCACTGGGATACCCATATTTCCTAAGTCACCCTTTCGGGTTTTCAACTTAGCGGGCTATTATTATTATTTTTTGTCCCTAACTTTTGTATGGACATTTCTATTTTTGTTCCATCAGGACGCCCATTTTTGCCTAGATTGTCCTTGCGGATGTCAATATAGCGGGCTCTTTATTCATCATTCTTTTTCAGGCATAATATTTTTTGTCAGCGTTGGAGTTCATGGGTAGTGGCAACTCCTCCCCATCCATGGTGGTGAGGATTAGGGCTCCGCCTAAGAAGGCCTTCTTGACAACAAAGGGTCATTCGTAATTGGGAGTCCACTTTTCGCGTGGATCCGAGTGAATAGGAGAATACCTCTTGGGCACGATTTCGCCTGTGTGGAACGCTAGAGGGATATTTTTTTGTCAAAAGCTCGCTTGAGGCATCTCTGATACAATTGACTATGGAAAACGGCTGTCAGACACTTTTCTTCAATACGATTCAGTTGATTGTATCTGGATTGGACCCATTCAGCTTCATCAAGCTCTGCTTCCATGATGACTCTGAGTGAAGGAATTTCGACTTTAATAGGCAAAACAACATCCTTACCATACACAAGCGAATACAGAGTTGCCCTAGTGGAAGTACAAACTAAAGTTCTGTAGCCATTTAGTGCAAAGGGAAAACTTCGTGTCAATCCTTGTAAGTCTTGACCATTTTCTGGACAATCCTCTTGATACTTTTTCTTGTTGTTCAACAACACTATTCATCTTGGGTTGATATGGTGAAGAGTTGTGGTGCTCGATCTTAAATTCTTAACACAACTCCCTCATCATCTTATTGTTCAGGTTGTTGGCGTTGTCAATGATAATACTGCAAGGAATACCATAGCGACAGATTATATCTTTCTTGATAAATCTGGAAACCACTTGTCGTGTAACATTTGTATAGGAAGCAACTTCAACCCACTTAGTGAAGTAGTCGATAGCAACTAGAATGAAGCGATGATCGTTGGAAGCCTTTGGCCCGATAATTTCAATCATATCAATACCCCACATAGAGAAGGGCCAAGGAAAATTTAAAAAATTCAATGGAGTTGGTAGTACATGGATCTTGTCACCGCAGATTTGGAATTTGTGACATCTTTTGGAAAGTTGTTCCAATCTACCTCCATTGTTGTCCAGTAATACCCAGCTCGAAGGATCTTCTTAGCCATGGCAGACCCTTTGGCATGTACACCCTCACAACCTACTTGTATGGACCTTATGATTGTGTCTATCCATGCATTTGAACAACACAGAGTCATAATTCTTTTTGTACAATATACCACCATTCAAGAAAAATTTGGCGCTGAGCCGTCTGAGAGCTTTCTTGTCAGTGGTTGTGATACCTTCGGGATATTCCTATTTTTCTGGATATCTTTTGATGTCGTAGAACCAAGACTTTTCATCAGACTCGTCCTCGATTACTAAGCAGTGTGCTAGTTCATTCAAATGATCAATGCAGATAGAAAGAGCTTCGTTCATCCACTTGACTTTGAACATGGATGCCAGGGTGGCAAGAGCATCACCTAGTTGATTTTCTTCCTTGAGAATATGATAAAAAGAGATTTCATCAAAATTGGGAATCAATTTCACAATGTGCTTTTGGTACGAAACCAGATTGGAATCCCGAGTCACAAAGTTTCCTCTAACTTGGCCAATCACCAGGGCAAAATCTCCATAGACTTCAAGAATCTTGTTTCTCATGTCAATGGTCGCTTCAATTCTATAGATGCATGCTTTGTATTCAGCCATATTATTGGTGCATTCAAAGCATAATCTGGAAGTGAAGGGAAGATGAAAACCTGTCAAAGAGATAAGGACAACACCAATTCCACGATCTTTAGCATTGGCGGCACCATCGAACACGAGCGTTCATCGCTCCCCTAGTTCGGGTCCTATATCAGGGTCTGGAGTTTCATAATGTCTAATGAACAAAACATCCTCATCGGGAAAGTCAAACTTCATTTGTTGATAACCTTTCACAAGTTGATGAGTCAGGTAGTCAGACAAGACGCTCCATTTTATTGCTTTTTGGGTAACATGTTGGATGTCATACTTAGGTAATAACATTTGCGAATGAGCAATTCATCCAGAGACAGCAGGCTTCTCGGAAATATACTTTATCAGAGCCATTTTGGATATCAATAAAGTAGTATGGAAAATCATATATTGTCTTAAAACCAGAACATAACAAGTTTTCTCCAATAGTGAGTATGTGGTCTCACAATCGGTGAACTTCTTGCTCATATAGTAAATTGCATGTTCTTTTCTGCCAGTGTCGTCATGCTAACCCAATATACATCCCATTGATTCATCGAGAACAGTGAGATACATGATTAAGGGCCTACCAGGAACCGGAGGTACTAAGATTGGTGGTTCTTGCAAGTATTTTTTTATTTGGTCAAAAGCTTCTTGTCATACCCCAAAATTTGACCCCTAGATTCCATTACCATTTTAGGAGCATCAACCATTGTTTCCTAACCCTAACTTTGTTTCAAGTTTGTTGTTGTTGAGGTTCATCTGCATTAGGGTTTTACACCTATGGAATCAAGAGAATGATTGATTGATCAGTCAAGGTTTTGGATTGATCATCATCAAATCAAGTCCCCATACATTCAAGAAGCTCATGTTCAACAAGAATCAAGTGCTAATTGATCTCACTACAAGTCAATTAAAGCCTAATTTCATCTGGCCCCAAATTAGGGTTTTGTTAGGAAAAGTCAACTGTGCCTTTGACTTTTGGTTCAAGCATGATCCCAAGCCTTTCGACATGATTCAACATGTTCATACACATTTTTGGAACCTAGCTATGATGTTTGAGAAGTCCCAAGTGACAATAAATGATGGTAAGGTGAAAGTGTAGAAATTTGTTTTGATAGGTGATAAGTTTGGTCAAATTCTGTTGTGGAGAATCAGTCAATGGGGAGTATGCATGTATGGTTGATCTTACATGATGTTTGATATTATGTTATGCCATGTTGTGTGTGTGTGTGTGTATATATATATATATATATATATATATATATATATATATATATATATATATATATATATATATATATATATATATATATATATATATATATATATATATATATATATATATATATATATATATATATGATATATTTTATAATATTATAAAAAATTTATATAAACAAATATTTTTCACTCATGACTCAAACGTTGGTTAGTACATTTCCGTCTTGTTGAATAGTCCATATTGAACAAGAAGATTAATAAGAATTTATGGATTAGCCATCACGAAGTTAAAGTCTACTTGATGCCCTTCAAACTAATCTACCTTAATGAGAAATAAATTACAATTGGTGGAAATTAAGAGCCTAGTTTATCGGGTCATGGACGCAATTTAATTTTTTTCAACTCCATTGCACATGCCACTTGTTTTTCTTACAGAATAATCTTATTTTTCTAGACAAAGAATAAGGTTCCCACTTATAACTAAATTTTAATGCAAAATGTTCCTATCTAATGATACAGTATACATCACAAGATCACCCAACATTTTCCCTCTCCTCAAACACCATTTAGCATTACCTAAATTCAACAGACACACACATGGAAGGTAAAAGTAGCTTAATTAATGATATAGTATAACAGAAAATAAATTATGTTTTGTTTGATAAATAATTAATAAAACTTTAATATGGATAATCAAGTCCATCTTCTCATTATTAGTTATTCATCGCCACTTATCTTTAATAATTTAATTACAATTGGTGGAAATCAGCAGCCATGTTTTTCTAGTCATGGACGCAATTTCATTTTTGAAAATTCTATTACACATGGCACTTATTTTTCTTACGGAATAACCACAAGATGAATAGTCTTCTCAATTACTTCTAAATTTTTATGTAAAATGTTCCTATAAATAGATCACTAGAGTCTCATCATTTTTCATCAAACAACATTTAGCATTTCAGAAATTAATTGTTATAACTAAAATGAGTCCATTTTCCTTAGTGTGTGCGTTGGGATTAATATTCATTGTGGGGAGTCACGTTGCATATGCACAAGACTCGCCATCAGACTATGTGAACGCCCACAACGCAGCAAGATCGCAGGTTGGTGTTGCAAACATTGTTTGGGATAACACTGTTGCTGCTTTTGCCCAAAACTATGCTAATCAACGCAAGGATTGTCAACTGATCCACTCCGGTGGTGGTGGCCGATACGGAGAGAATATTGCGATGAGCACCGGTGGCATGAGCGGCACGGATGCAGTGAAGTTGTGGGTTGATGAGAAATCTTACTATGATTATAATAGTAATACATGTGCTTCTGGTAAAGTGTGTGGCCATTATACTCAAGTGGTTTGGAGAAACTCAGTTCGTCTAGGATGTGCCAAAGTGAGATGTAACAATGGAGGAACATTCATCACTTGTAACTATGATCCACCTGGTAACTATGTTGGCCAGAAGCCATACTAAGTGCATGTTTAATATCATCATATATCATGATTCATGAATAAATAAACAATACCAGAAAAATAAGTAAGTAATGAGTTTCTGACTCATTATATTAAATATGATGATAGTTCTTAATAATAAAATAATGTTTATGTGAGTTAACTGTGTGTATAACTTGCAAGTTGATTAATGCCATCGATCTAAGAAATTGTGGTATTTTATATGTGGATTCTCTCTAATATTCTCTCACGCTTCATCTTTCTTCATTAACAAATAATGGAATAAATAAATTTAATATTTGTTTACTTTGCATATCACTATTTTATTTTTGAAAATAAAATAATTTAAAAACATTTATTTTAAAATAGTTTCAAATAGGTTTTATATATATATATGGGGGAAGAGGAACGACAATGAATAATAGAAAACATGAAAGGAAAGTGGAGGAAGAAGAGAAAGTAGAAGGAAAAAGAAGGAAAAGCTTGGAAAAGCTCAAGAACGACTTCTAGCTTCCGATTAATCGAGGTAAGGGTGTGAAATCTTACTATCTTAATCAATGTGTATGATTATGTATGTATGTGTTTGGATTTGTTGAGGGTTTCCTACATTTTTCCATTTTAGGTCGGAAGTGGATTTAATCAGTAGAAACTGAGTTTTATCGGTTAGAATTTGAAATAGACGGTGTAGTATAGTCGGGTGATGAGTGGGTTGTGCTACTGGAACTAATTTGGATTAAATCGGTCGGTTTGTGAGGTTTGGGCTTTTGGACAGCCATGGAAGTTCTGAGTTCGCAGGTTCGCCAGGCGAATGGCAGCGAGGCTTCGCCAGGCGAAGCCCAGCGAACGATAACGAATCAAGTCAGAACCAAACACCCTGTCTTCGTTGGCAAGTTCGCCAGGCGAATGAGTGTGGCGAAGGTTCTCCAGGCGAGTATGCTAGCGAGTAATTCCAGAATAAATCCCAGTGGTCTTCGCTGGCAAGTTCGCCAGGCGAACGGAGTAGCGAAGGTTCGCCAGAGGCTTTGACAGACGAAGGTTAGCGAACACAGCAGCATATTTTCTTTTCTTGTGTTTTCCATTCGTGGGTTGATTGTCTGGTTTGGTTGCGATCATTCCTTATCTGAGACGACTAATTATATGATGTTATGTGTGCTGTGGGTAGCCGTATGGCGTGAATCCTAGATTATGAATTGATTGTGAATATGTGGCCTTTTGGCATATGTGACGCATTGTTTAAATTGATTAAAAATGCATGATGGATGTGATTGAGTTTATTGCCGCTTGGCACGATATTTGCAAGTGCATATTGCTCGTATGTGATGTATGATGATTGTAAATGTGAACCATGTTTAAATATTGTGAGTGCATAATGAATATATGTGATTAACGTGATTAATGCATGAGTATGTTTGTAAACATTTGTGCATTTCAAGAGTGTCATGAGTCATGTCGCATGTGAAGCATCATGGTGTGCATTCTTGTGTTTATTGATTCCTCGGAGAATCTGCAGAACCTCGTGTGCCCTTGTGGGGTGTGAGCGATGGTTATTTATTGATTCCTCGGAGAATCTGCAGAACCTCGTGTGCCCTTGTGGGGGTGTGAGCGATGGTTATTTATTGATCCCTCGGAGGATTTGCAGAACCTCATATGTTGCGATGGTTATATTGATTCCTCGGAGAATCTGAAGAACCTCGTATGTTGCGATGGTTATATTAGTTCCTCGGAGAATCTGCAGAACCTCGTGTGGCCTTGTGGGGTGTGAGCGATGGTTATTTTTGGTTCTTCAATTGAACCTGCTGAAATGAGTCGGTACCGCATTTGCATCTGCATAGAGTCGTGTGTCGGTCTCTATGAGTTGCATGTTGTCATCTTCATATGATGCATTGGTGAAATAAACATGAATGTAGATGTTTATGTGAATTAACGCGAATTTCGGTAATGGCATGAGTGAGTATGCTTGAAGAGATATATATATATATATATATATATATATATATATATATATATATATATATATATATATATATATATATATATATATATATATATATATATATATATATATATATATATATATATATATATATGTGGGTTTACATGGATTGATGTAAACATTCGTGAATGCATATTGTATATGCTTGATGTTCTATTTATATATAGATACTTATATGGATACATTGCGATGTATGGAATGATTGAGATGTATAGAATGATTGTAAATGTTTATGTGAAAATGATGTGAATTATAGAAGTATGATTGTATATGCTTATATGATTTGCGGTAAATGAAACATAATGTATATGTGATTGTTAGGAGAAGTGTGCCTATGTATATATACGATATGTTGATGTGGGAATGGTGAGTGTGTGAATTGATTGAGAAATGTGGCATATATGTATTTTATGATTGTTTATATACATAATTATATGCATTGTTATTATGGTAATATTTCTCACCCTTCTGCTGTTTTATGATGCTCTATGAGGCATTGCAGATTAGGATTGCTGGAGGTTTCCTTTGGAGTATAGCTCCTTTTCTCTTGAGTCGATCGCTCTAATATGTAACATCGGGTAGCTAGGCTTGTAGAGTATCTTTGTGTTACATTATATATGTAATAGTTGATGATGTTTGGTAAACTGTGATTGATGTTATGAACAACCTAATGGCGTGTACTTGTATTTTATCATGTCTTAAATAATTCAATGTTTTAGTCTTCCGCTTTAACAGAAAACATGAATATGCTTGTTTTAAGAACCGTGCGTTTATTTCTTTTTAGTTGAGATTTACCCCTTTTGAATTATTTCTTTATAAACATTAATATTCATGTGGTCATTTCTTGAGTAATGTGACGCACTTCTTTTATACCATGAAATAAATATACTCTGATGGAATTTTTTTAATTCGTGCCTAAATGATTTAATTGTGTTATTTGGGGGTATAGAAAGGGGGTGTTACAACATGTTTGCACCAGCATTTTGCAACTTCTGAACCTCGTCCGCTAGTCTTTCCACTTCCTCTTCGGCCCTTTGAATTTCCACCAAAGGTGGTCCCGAGAGTGTTTCTATCACAAATTAATCAAAAACTTGTTGAAAGACGAGCTAACAAAATTAAGGAAGAGGAACACCATCAGATGAATAGAGTCACAAATTATTACACTTCACACAAATTATAGTGAGATATTACAGATGCGTCCACATTCATGATTTGTCCTATAGGATATAATACCTGTATAAGTGAGTATTTTGACTGGCCCTGGCAGTGTCTTGCAGCTTAAATTCAACCCATTTACCAGGAATTAGTGCTGAAAACAAAAACAAACAAAAAAAGCAAAATATTCTTTATCAACACTGGAATCAGAAGGTAATCACAAATCATAATGCAAGCTACAAAGCAATAACCTATATTTATAGGCACATAAATCTATTTTCCCCAGTAACTCATCTATACAAATCAATCCAAAACCTACACTGATTTTTTATAGATAAATCTACCACACCATTATATTACACTATATCCACAAAAAACAGTCACAATAGATATTGTCGATTCACTCGATTCCAATTCCAACTAAGAGGAAACTCACCGATATTTTTAGTCGTAATTGCCTCATCTCCAATTTGATCCGAGTGAACCTGCAAAAAGTTAGAACAAATTTGATTACCGAGTTCATTATATTCATGCAAAAGAAGAAAAAGAATCGATTAAAATTTAAAAGAGAACACAAGGACGAAAAGTAAATTTAGCAGCTACCAGATTGGGAGAGGAAGAGTAGTAAAGGTAGGAGAATCCACCAGAAATGGCGGCGATAGCGGTCAAGGGTAGGTGGAAATTAGTACGGGAGGATTTGGAATGGGCGACTCTTGAACAATAATAAGACTAGCAACTGAGGTACCATCTCCTAAGCTTCCTTTATACACACTTCCCAATCCACCTTCAAAATATAAACAGTTAGCAACAAATTATACTGAAACCATAGCGCGGTAAGATTCAACTCAATATAGGACACACATACCTGTTCCGAGAAGCTGCGAAAAGTTGATTGTCCTGATTTGCAAAGCACGGTAAGTAAAATTCACTGGAGCACCTGATAAGACCAATGAACTTTCCATCTCTCTTTTAAAAGTTCTTTTTCTATGAACACTATAATATAGTAACATAGAGAGTCAAATAATGAAAATTATCATTCCTATAACAATTGGAATAATCACAGCCTTTTCCTTAGCACTCCCCATTCCATCAGAAGAACTGTTATTAGACCTTCGTCGTCCTTCTGGTGTCCATGAACTATTCATTCGAACCTTCACAAACAAAGTGGAACTCGTATCTTCAAAATCGCCGAAACTTAAACTCCTCAACACCCAACAAAAAGGTATTTCTTCATTTAGTCCATAAACAGAAGCAACAAAATCACAATCTAATAAACATGCATCGCCGCATTTTGATACAGAAGAAACATCACTCTCACTATAATTAGCTATTATTGATGATTCAGAGAAATAATAATTAGTTTGTTGCACAGTTGAAATTCTAAAATTCGATGTCGTGTGTTCGTTTTTTCCATTAGTACACTTTCCAGCAAGAGATGAATTCTCATAACACTGTCCATCTCTAAAGGTAGGAAAAACACTTAGAATGGGGGGTTGAATAAGGGTTTCAAAAACAACTATGATAATAGAAAATGACAAGTTACTTTATCCTGGTTCGTTTGAACTCAAACTACTCCAGTCCGCCCGCCAAGGTGATTTTGCCTTTCTCAAACAATGACTTAATCCACTAAATCAAAACCTGATTACAGTGATATCACTAAGACAAACTATCTTAGTCTTCTCAAGAATCTTGACCGCAACTTGGTCTCTCAAGGAACTTTTACAAGGATGAAATACAATGTGTTTAAGTGCTTCTAAAAAGCTATTATCACAACTGTGATTTTTACACAAAATGAAGAACAAATAAAACAAGTATGTTTGTTGAGAAAAATTGTTTGAATATGTTCTTTGATTGTTTTGTATTCCTTCGTTTATCTTGAAATGATGTTGAAGACTTGCTTAAATAGACTTTACATCCATTTCTCAAAGAACATGCAGTTGTTGCCTTTTGTCTTCTTTGACTTTTCCTTCACAGAAGAGGAATGTTCAGACATATCCTTTTTGTCTAAATTCTTGTGCCATACACGAATGAGGAATAGTTTCGTTGGTAGACATTGGGTTTAGCAACGAATCTTTCTTGAACAATATCTTTTCAAATGAACAGATATGAAAAATGATCTTGCATCAGATCCTCTGATGATGTTCCATGTTCTTCTTTATCAGAGTCACTCTATCCAGAGTTATGCAGCAAAGTGCTTAGCGTGAATGAATGATCAGAGTTGACTTGATTCTCAGAGCCTCTGTAGGTTGCAGCGTTGAGTTCTCACATAGTCTTCTGAATATACTGAATCTTTATACTTTGCGCTCAGAGTCTTCTGTAGGTAGCGCTTCAGAGTCTTCTGTAGCTTTACTCAGATTCTTCTGTGTTGCGCTTTCTACGCTTAGAGCTTTGTGTTATATAATGTTCAGAGGAATTCTTTTTGTCTTCAGATGAATATGTATTTGATATCTGAAACAAAAACACTTGAACAAAATTAGAGTATATATTTTCTCTATACAAAATTTTATTAATGTTATCATCAAAACATTGAGATATATTAAGAACCAATCCGTGTTCTAACAATCTCTTCCAACTTTAGAAGTTCCTGGTAAACAAGTGCAAGAAGCATTAGTCTTAGTTTTATCCAATTTATAAACCTGGTTGCCGCAAATTCCACCAATATCACATGGATTTGAAACTGCAACCCACTGTGACACCCATTGTTTCGATCCATTTACGTCTTCCTATCGATATAACCGTAGATTTCCATTATCTTTGAGTGTCAGTCTTCTATGGACACCCACCAAGACCAGCAACTGAGGAATCCAATATACTAATTCCCATCTATATAAATACAAATTAATTATTGATTGCTTCCATTGATTTCCTTAGTAGAATCATCGGCGCATCGATAAAAGCTTCGACATATATGAAGAATCGTAAGCAAGTAAAAAGGAAAGTAAAAATGAAAAGCTATAAGTTGATGACTTACTTGAAGAGAAACAAGAATGTTCAAACGGGATTGGCCATAAGTCTCATGGAAGTGGACAACAATCTTCTCTATTGGAACAACTACTATTACAGCTGCCAGCATCGGAACAACGGATAGTTGAACTCCTCGTTCGCCAACAAATGTTTTGTATCCTTCGGGGAGAGAAGTTGTGAACTTGTGAGTTGGCAAGAGTCGGCGCTTCAAAAATCTCGGCTTCTGAAGCTGAGTTGTGTCCGTCCATAAGCAATGTTTTTGTATATAGTAGTAGCAAATAGGCATAGCTCTTGGGGCACCACTGCAATGTGTTTTCAGAGGGACTTGAGATTGTATTTCCTCATGTCCTATCCATCAATTGTGACCCGGCCAAAAGTTGAATCGTAGAATCTTTGTATAAGTGCAATAACCGAGCTCTTGCCATATCCTCTAGGTTCTACAAGGGCAAGAGTTTTTCCTCAAAGACTAATGTCGCGGAAAACCGACATATCTGGTCGGCTGGGATAAGAGAAATCATCATGCTTGAAATATACTTCACAACGAAGAGAGTCGGGGACATGGGCGGCATCTAGATCATCTGGCTCAATTTCATTTCTGCGGTCAAGAAGGTCGAAAACCGACCTCATGGGTAAAGTCAGTAGCCAATGTTAAAGTTTCAACAACACCATTAGCAGAGACCATGAGGACCATAAATACTTTGATTGTTATAGAGTAATCGGAGATGCCATGCTTCACAAGCCAAGAAGCATACATAAGACCGAGAGCAAAGGAAGCATAGAGTGCAATGGCGATATACATAGCAGTTTTCAGGCTAGCTTGCCGCAATGGTAAATACCACCTGTTATTTCAGCGAGAATGATGTAGACCAAGATCCTCCATTTGACTCAGCCAATCCAGTCTCTGCTTGCTCTTGGTTCTTCTCATCTTTGCCTTAAATTTTGACTTTACCAAGAGTCTATACTGTATTTTTAAAGTTCTCAATGGCCATTACGACCAACAGAAGACCGCAAGATATTACCTGTCCGAAGAGTTACTGTCATTATAAGGCTAGCCTTTGCAATAAACAATAGCACCGGAATAGAAGCATACCCGCCAATCAGAAATCTCTCCAGCAAATGCAGTATAGAGCAACAATAGTCCAAAGAAAATTTAGAATCTAGGGTGATACTTACCAACCCACCAACTCAAAATTACCAAAGAAAAAAAATACAATTTGTTAGAATCTAGGGTGATACTTACCAACCCACCAGCATAAAATTTAGATCCATCTGTACTAAATGTATTACATGTTTGGGAACCAATACCATGCAGAGGGGTTAGTTCCTTGGCCAACAACTTCATGACCATACAACTCAAACAATGTGCAAGCCACAAAGAAAACATTCAATCTACATATGTTTGGTTTTATCTCCAATGAAGAAACAATGGTAACTTAAGACAAACTATCTTCTAGGAATCCTTAAGAAAAGAAACATATGTGGCTTTGTTTGGTAAGGTAAAATTAAAACTGCAATCCCCTGTGCCCAACCGCCCATCTTCCTTTCACTTCCTCAGGATACACAAAGTCTTCTTTCAACATTTGAGTGTCTGATGGAGACAAGTCAAATATCAATGATCAATATAAAGTGAATACAAAACAATTACATTAAAGAACATGCCAAAAGTATCACTACGGAGAAAAACACTGCACCTGATCAAAAATGGATATAACACAACCATATTTCCCTTATAGACGTTGTCTTTGAAACCCGAGCAACAGAGAAATTTTGCTGAGAAGTTAAGATCGTTTTCCACACGTTCAAGAATGCATTTCAAAACCTTAGAATTAGGATAACTGCATGAAACTCTTTGAACTTCGGCTATGTTTCGACTTTTGAGATTATTAGCAGATAAAAATAACTCAAGATGACAATCTCTTTTTGTTGTCATCACGTCAGACTAGATATCAACATCAACATTGCATGTAGAAGAACCTGGCCTGAGAAGCAACTGTACAACAATTATTTAATCATGTCAAGTATTCAAAAATTGCAAAGCATTTAAACCTTACCGTTTTAGTGTCCAATTTACAAGTTTCAGAAGTTCGATCAGAAGACTCAAGCTTTTGGTTCTTGCATTTATACGTCACTAACAAATTATGAAATGATATCGACAATAATCCCATCTAACACAACTCTTCGGGAAGCTTTCATTACACCCATGTGCAATTGTGAAGAAATGTCTTCAGATAATTCAAAATTTAAGTTCATCACATCACCGACTCCATTGCTTTTGGAATCTGATCCACAGATGGTTCTAGATATATCTCCTTGCAATGCATTTATAGAAGCTAACAACACAAAGTTTCCATACTTTTTGTCAAAATGGGAGATCTCTAAGTAAATATAAATAAATCAAATACTGCTATAATAGGATAATACATGAAGAAGAGTGCTTATTAAGTAGGATAGTATATAGAGAAGAGTGATATTGTTAAAAATTAATTAGATTTTTAGGTTGTTGCCACTACTATAGTTATAGTGTCATACAGTGAATTGAATATGAGTTGTAACTGTGTGATGAGAGTTATTTCCCTTTCTCTTGTCTTCCTCCAATGACGAATACTCTCAAGATGGAAGTGAAAAGAAAACATATGATACAGCTAAAAAAACCACAATATCCATAATGAATATTGATGATAAATCAGATGTTAATGTACAAAACTTCTAATGAATAACAACTATATGATGCTTAACAAAACAAAAGAGGGAAGTGAACACCTTTAATATCTACACAACATTTAAAGCTTAAACAAACAAATAGTAATATTGATGAATAATACCCGGTAAAACATTAATCTTAATTTTTCTCAGCCATAATTTGATTAGAAAGCACGAAGGCATTCAATTTCAATAAAAGTTTCTTGAGAGATAAAAGAGAAGCAGAAAAGAAGGAGAAAAATAAAGATATATGATCCAACCTGCTACCACATATGAGAATATTAGATTTCAAGTAATG